TTGATCAGTTATTAATAGGAAATGTGCTAGAGGCCTCAGAATTTCACGAAAACACCATGTAAATAGCAAAGGTTTAAAAAAAGGACTTTTCCATCACTTGGCAAGAAGCCAAGGAAATCATAAAAAAAATGCCCTACTTGTTCCTTCTATAACCAAACTCCATTACCTGCAGGAGGTAATCCTAAAGGTATACAAAGAAATAAAATTTGGCAGATGGATGTGTTTCATTTTGCAGAATTTGGAAAATTAAAATATGTACACCATACCATTGATACCTATTCAGGATTTCAATGGATAATTTCTATGAGTTCTGAAAAGGCTGATTCTATAATTATACACCTATTAGAAGTTATAGCCATCATGAGAATACCTGTAAAGGTTAAGACTGACAATACTCTAGCATATGACTCTAGTAAAATGAAACAGTTTTTTGCTTATTACAATATAAAGCATATTACAGGTATACCATACAATGCTATAGGCAAAGCAATCATAGAAAGATCTAATTGAACTTTTAAGGATATGCTAAATAAACAGAAAGCAGTAACAATGACTCCTAGAAATAGATTATATAATGCTTTATTAACCTTGAATTTTCTCAGTGCTGATGAGAAAGGGACAACAGCTTTGGAGAGACATTGGACAACAGAAAAAAACTCTTGAGTTAAAACAACCAGTTTACTTCAAAGAAGTGTTGACCTCAGGAAAGGAAACCAGGATATGTGCTACATTGAGGAAAGGGTTTTGCTTTTGTTTCCGCAGAAGGAAAGCTATAGATAGCAACAAAATTAATAACAACTCGATTTGAACAGGAGAAACCCCTTGATGAGACAATTCTACAAGTTGTAAGGAAAACTCAACAAACAAGGGTTGGGGCAGGGTTCTGGTTTTTGTCTTTACAGGATGATAGGAATACCCATCTTCCAGAGGTCAAAAGGCCTTGGACAGAAAAAATTTACAGGCAACGAATATTGGACCTATTGGTACCAATATATTCTACAGGGTAATATCTCACTGCCTAACATTAGTATCTCTTTACCTCCAGGAAAGTTATGGTCCCAACTCAATTATAAATCAAACTGGCTTTAGAGTTGGAATGTGGTTCTCTGTTCTCTAAATTTTGGGCTTTAAAGACACTCCATATGGAAGTTTGTCTTCTTGGCAAAAAATGGTCTACTGGGCAAAGAACTGCCCTTGCCTCGACTGCTGACAGTATACACACTGTCCTTTCTGGACAAGCAGGATACAAGGAAGAGCAAGTGTTGAACTTTGCCAAGACAGGGTAAGATGGTCTTTCAAAATTCCTGCTTCTGATAATGGTCTGTCTGATACTCTAGGCCTGTACCAAAAATGGATGCCCCAACGGTGTTGAGAAACATTAGTTGACTGTCCAGGCTGCCAGCTGTCTCTGTCAATTCTTGCAATTTTTTAGAAGCTGCTTGCTTGCCCTTCTTGTTTCCTCAGGTAATATTATTTTGCTTCTCAGGTCTTTGATGGGGTTGAAGACTAGATAGGTACAGTTATAATCCTCTCATGTCTTAGCTAAGAACATGTTAGACACTAGAGGTATATTCTTCAGGGTAGGACAACTATTGGATAATTTCCATTTTTTTTTAACCTATGGTCTGGATATTTTCTGGACATGCATCATGTGTTTCTTGTTTCATGGTGTTCTTGCTGGCTGTAATTCCATTTTTGTTTATGTTATTACTCTTTGTTTCTCCTGGACAATACTTGATAATCATTCTTGTTGTATATAGTTTGCATTAGGTTTAGAACCTTCTTATTTAGACAAAAAGGGAAAATGTAGTGGTGTTTGCTCCACCCATGACCTTCGGTATAGGGCCTGAAGGAGGTGGTGCTTCTTGCCTTCATATATGACCTCTTAAAAGGAAAGGGAAAGAGGTCATGTGTTCCCTTTTTCCTGTTTCCTGGCATGATCAGACTGCCAGGTGCCTTCACTCCTGGACAGAACAGAGGACAACTTCAGCTGTTTACTCGCTTCTATATTCGTGAGTGTATTTCCTCAATTTATATATTAATATATCCCACTGGGCAGTGGTGGCGCACGCCTTTAATCCCAGCAGTTGGGAGGCAGAGCCAGGCAGATCTCTGTGAGTTTGAGGCCAGCCTGGGCTACAAAGCAAGATCCAGGACAGGCACCAAAGCTACACAGAGAAACTCTGTCTCAAAAAACAAACAAACAAACAAACAAACAAACAAACAAACAAACAAACAAAAAACCACCAAAAACAAAAAACCCTCTATTACCCATTAAATAGATTCATGTGGATTGATCTTAACATCTATGTGTATGTATGTACAAGTGCCCAAAGAAATCAGAGAAGTTGGCTCCTCTAGAGCTGGAGTTATAGGTAGTTGTGTACCACCTGACATGGTTGCTGGAATTGAACTTGGGGCCTCTGGAAGACCAGTAATAGCTGAACCATTTTCTTCAGCCTCCTGACTCTACTCACAATTACTGCCTTCCTGTTCTACTCTGCCCGGGGCTCCCAGGGTCCTAAAAGTTGCTTCTAGGCAGAGCCTGGACGGCAAAGATGGAAACTTTATTACATTTGGCACAGGGCAATCTCAGACAACTTCATCACAAAGCGTCCTTAGAAACAGAGGCCAGGAAAAGGTAATTGTTTCCTGGAGTCGGAGAGTTTCAGGGTCAGAATGCTCACTGGTCCCATCCCCCTGTGGTGGGTGTATTGACAGCCATGTGTACATATGTGTGTACATGTTGACATTATGATACTCCTGGGGAAGGACTCCAGGGTCCTTTCAGACATTAAACCCTGGGGATGCTCAGGTCTCTCAGATAACGTGGCATGGTATTTGCAGAAAGCCTCTGCAAGTGCTCCTGTATGGTCCTGATCCTGCCCTCCTGTGACTTACAGCACTTAATACAATATAAGTGATATGCAAATAGGTAGCAATTTATGGTAACAGGAAACATCTGTATGTGTTCAATAGTAGTGCAGTACTTTCCCAAGCCAAAAGGAAAAGTAGTGGTCCAGACAGTGTAGTGTCATGGAGCCTGGCTGGCTTGAACCTCCTCATCCTCTAAGCTCAGCCTTCTGAGTGCTGGGATTATGAGAATGCATCTCTCTGCCAGTCCAATATTGTTATTTGTGGTTAGTTGATCTGTAGCTGTGGAAGCCCCAGATGGGGCTGACAGACTGTAGCATGTGTATATGAACCACTGTAGCATAAGCTGGTAAAGATAAGGATAGATTTAGAGGGCAATTTGATACTCTGTGTCTCTTAGGGAAGTTTCTCCCTGCAGTGGATGGAGGTTAACTCAGGACTCACAGTTAGTCTAAGTGCAGAGAGTAGGTGACCGTGGAGTGCTCAGGACATCTACATTATGCCTCCTCCCTGAGGCTCAGGTCAGGTTTTCCCACCAAATGCCTGGCTAATTGTGTGTAAGTATTCATGTATGTGTGCACACTTTTGTTCATGGGCGTGCATGTGTGGAGGCCAGAGACTGACATGAATATCTCCTTCAGTCACCTTGCACTTTAATTTTGACAGTGTCTCCCACCCGACTTGGCTGGCCGGCAAGTCTCAGGATCCTCCTAACTCCACCTTCCCAACTGGGACTATAGGCATGGTGGCTTTTTACTGTGTGTGATGAAGACCAAACGCAGGTCGTCATACTTGCATGGCAATTGCATGCTCAGTTTTCCCAGCTGAGCCTTCTACCCAGTTTTTACCTTTAAAGCACTTTGTGTCTAAGGATTTCAGGTGTGAGTTATTAGTACTAATGCTGTCTTCCTAGTGGGGTTGTGACAAGGATGTCACATCTGAATCAGATGCAATAGTGTACAGGGCATGAGGTCCTTGTGTTCACAGATAAGCACTAGAGAAGCCAAGGACGTCACACACGCAGGCTTTTCTCAACAGAAGGTAGTTCAACCTGTTTCTGCCATGGATTGGACGTGGTTAATAACCTGGCGACCTTTCTATCTGTAGGGGCAGTCCTCACCCGCATCCCCCAGACTAGTATGTTTGTTTATTCCGGAGTCTTAGAACCCATTTTTGTGGAAGAGGGCACAGATAACTTTGCAAAAGGCATGTGTGCTGGGGAGGAGTTTTGATGTAACCTTTGCTGTGGTAAGTGTCACCAGAAACCTTGTTTCCAAAGTTGTGCTGTGCTGCTGAGCTATGTCAGAAATAAACTGCTTGGCATCAGAGTCTAGAAGTTGGAACAAACACCGGCTAGCTAAGTTTTGTTGAACTGGGTTTCCTCATATGGATCTTTTTCTGCTGACTGGCTATGGCATTTGCAGAGAACACACACACACACACACACACACACACACACACACACACACACACACACACACATACACACACACGCACACACGGAGACAGTTCTTTCTG